CTATACAAATTAAAAGTATGTTAATCCCAAAACAGTTAACAGGAGGCCTGGAGACCCAACCTACTTTTAAATGTCAAGGCTCTCTATCAGGTCCTGTTGACGCTAAACAAGAGACTTCTGGGCTACAGCTCTTTTTTAACTAAATACAGCAAATCCAGTCAGCTCACACAGAATTATGAGCAAAATAAAATACAACCAAACAGTGCACACCCAGTTTTCAACCAACACAAAACTCCCACCTTCCAGAATCCACCCACTTCATATGTCAGCCTCCAAACCAGAGAATTAGGCCCATCCAACTTTTAAATGCCAAGGCCCTCCACCAGGTCCTCTTGTTCTAAACAGGAATTTAGTTTACATTACATTACGTTACATCACATAGAAATTTTGCCTATCAGGGCTCGTAGAAGACACAGATGGACACAAGGAGCAGACGAATAGTGGGCAACAACTGACTGTCGCTGTTGCTAGTGTCTACATGCTCTGCTGTGATGGAAAAGGCATGGTAGGGAAGGGAGGACCTAATGTACCATATGCATCCCTGAAACAAACCAGGGCTACTATAGGAGTGATGAACAACTAGTAGTAATAGGAATGGAAGGACACTGGTGCTGGAGACAAGGTATAACCTCCAACTCTTGGATAATACCTGTTTCACATAAAAGCATGGTGTTTAGGACTTAAGCATATTAAAAAGTAAGGAGTGAATATGTTTATGCATGTATGCTACCCTTTGGTGTATGCTAAATTTAAAATTTAAATTCCAATCACTTAGAAAATAAAGAAAAATCTTTTGCCAAGTAGAAGTTAGTTTCAGATGATGGCAGAAAGAATGAGAAAATCAGCAAGTGAGGCTAAGACCAGATCAAGTCTTTTACTATGTTTTTAGAAAATACTGAAAGGACATCATGTACCGGAACTTTTCAGATACAGCCAGAGAAGAAATTCAGAGTAAAAATTAAACTCTAAAAATGAAAGAATAGAAAGAATAATAGTAAATTATAAATTAGAATTTACTTTAGATAAATTTTAAACTGTTCTAAAGAAAATAGAAGAATAAAAAGTGACGTTTTAAACAAAATTGACATAAAATAAAAAAGCGGTAGAACTAGCAATTTTTTTATAGTCTAAGTTAGACAAGATCTTGTTTTGCGTTGGATTTTTTTTCCATTGAAAATAAAAATAAAAAATTTCTTTAACAATTCTAATCACAAATGGTATTAACCTGTAAGTCAACCAAATTACCAACCTAAACAACTTATTTGGCTTCTCTACACTCCAGTGCAATCTTCAGAGTTTCTTCTGACATCCATTTTGGTCTTTTCTTCCTCTTCTGTCTTTGTAATGACCGTTTACACTCTTCCTGAATG